TGGTGGGGGGGCTGGGCGGGTGCGGGAGCCGAGGGGAAGCTGACAGCGGCCGGGGACTCGTCGGTACCGGCCGGGTTCCGAAGCGTCACCTCCGCGGTGCGTCCTCGGCCCAAGATGGGGCGTTGGACGCGGTGACTGACGGATAAAGAGCATTGCTTTTGGTTCTCGTAAACAGTTTATTTAACGTGTCGTGTTTCCTTAATTTAACCTTCCAGATCTCAGCTTACCATAAATACTGCAATTGTTTACATGCACAGGTTTTATATGCATCATTCCTTCACCAAATTTAATCGAAATGTAAGTATGATTCTGTACGCGGTGATATCGTGCCTGCAGTTTTGGCAGTCTGACTGACAAGTGTTATATTCCTTTGCCAGATTGTAAAGTCTGGTCCCTTTACAGGAATTCTAGCTCCTTATCAGTGCTTTAGAACCAATAATGATACTTCTTTTCAACTTTGAATTATTCTAACTAGTGACAATCAGATTTTACCTTCTGCCAATTAAAAAAAAAATAGGCACCATCATCAAACACGTTTCAGATGCGCGAAGAATGCGTTTTGGTGTTTTGAGTCTGGCTGGTGCTGACGCGCTGTGGTTTGGCAGGCTGGTGTGCAGGAACACACGTTTTTCTTAATGAAGTCAGTGGTAGCGTGTCTGACAATTATAGCGTGGTTATGTGTGTATCCGTGTGGGTTATGTAGCTGTTCTTAAAAAACAGTGTAAATTCATTTAACTAGTCTAGTCTTAAGCAGCTTGATGATAAGTCACGTTAGATGAGAAAAATCTTTAAATCTGATGAGAAAATGCCGCCTCTGTTTCAACAAATGAACTGAGCGTGCTGAATCTGAATATGGAGTGTGTTAGGAGGAACTGAATCATCTTGTACCCTCTGTAGCTGAGTGGTTTTCTAGCAGGTACGGAGCTGCAGATCCCAACTGGAAAATTTTAATGCTTTTTCATGTCCGGTGTAGTTGGAAAAATAGTAATATTCCAGGTATTTTTGTGTTTTGGTTTTTTTGAAGTACTTTGTATCAATATCAACTTTGCAAGAACAATTAATAGTTGTGGTGGTATATCACTAATTGGCAAGGATGAGTTTTCTCAGCTCTTGGGATTTCAGGTTAAACTGAACAGATTGAGACTGACAGATGTTACAGTCTTGACCAGAGCAGAGCTTGGTCCACCAAGGGGTAGAATCTTGCAGACCTTGCGCTGTCTGAAATTTGGGCAAGTACGCAGTGGGTTACAGTGTTAGTGGGTTTGTTTCCCATTGCTGGCTGAGCAGATGGACACCTTATTTGGTGTTTCTTGAGCAAGAAATACGGATTAGTTTGTAGATACATTTCAGAAGTGTATTTAATTCTTTTTGTGCAAATCTGAGGTAAATTCAATCTTGCAGCAATTTTGTTACCAGAACTGCAGTGGGTTACAAATCCTTGTGTAATAAAACCTTAAGTGTTTAAGTGCAGCCTGAGCTAAGCATGCATAAGCCTGAAACACTTTAACCAAAAGAAATATATAATGTAGGTGGTTGCTTATGTAGTGATAGAGAGTTTTGTATTGAATGGATGTACATATAAATCCAAATGTACTTCCCTAAAACAGTTTTCTAGTTCTACAGCAAGAATAGCACACGTGAGAATCAAGTTTTGTGGTGGAATATGCCCTTTGAAGGTGTTGCTGTGACACACCGAGCGAAGGCAGTGGAACAGTTGTTCCGTCCGCTCCGCGTAGCTGCCCACGTAGCAGTAACCTGTAGGAGCCAGGCGAAGAGGAGCTGGTGAGGCATCCAAAGTTTTCTGTGGCCGTGGATGGTTTGTGGACTCGTTAAACTAGGCAGCGCTGCTTGGAACAGAGAGGGCCCTCTGTGCAGAGCTGCTGTAGCTGGGGCCTGAGTTGTATACATCGCCCGTGAGATTACTGTTCCTGCTGTCGTCTGGTAGTCTAGGAGAGAGTTAGGTAGCAAGAGGCTTTGGCTGCCGTGTTTGGGTTTTCGCTGCACACTGGAAAATGCTGGTCACTTGGAACTGGAAGCACAGTAGCATTTGGGTATATAGTGCCCTTGTTACAAAAACTATGCCTGAAGTTATATTTATGAATCTTAAAATTCACAAGTAAGCCATGTAAGGGCTGAATGCCATGGAAACTGCAACTGTTACAGTAGGGGGAAGTGTATTGTTAAATTAATTCTCAGGTAATGGTATTCAAATAAAATTTAAAGCCAGCTGCACTGCAAGTTAGCACTCCATAATATTGATTCCTGCTACTTTCTGTAGTTCTTAATAAGCGTATGGCCAGACAGCAGCTCTGGGTGTGTACTGAAGGGAAAATGCATTTTCATATGTATTTTCCTATAGGGCAAAAGGGGTGTTCTCAGGGTGAATGTGAGTCACTTTTAAAATACTCCCAAACCATCTGGCAAGTTCTCTGTAGAGAAAGCAAAAGCCAAGAACTGTAATAAATACTTAATATCAAATCTGCAGAGTACTTGGCAAGCTAAAAAATGTAACAATATTCATCCACTGCAAGAGGAAACTAACTCTTAGAAATTAAATAGTAAGATGCTGGCAGTATTGCAGCTAAGACCTAGCTAAAATTTTCTACAGTATATGGAGTATATCTCTAGTATTTCTTTGTTCTGTGCATGTTGTGGTGTTTATCCATGGCAAGAAGGAATCTGAAGGCTGGGGCTAGAAAATTAGGTGGCCATTAGTCAGAATGCCTTATGATCTCCAGCTGAAAAAATGTAGCTTTTGTTTTCTTGCTTTATTGGTAGGTTAGTGGTTTTAGTCAAGTAATAAACACTTGCATATTTGTCGTCATGTATAATTGCTGGGCTGTACAAATACACATGTATGTCTTGCTTCCAAGTCACGTGCGCTTAATTGTTAATAAGCAGGTCTTCTAGTGGAAGCTCATTTACTGAATAGCTATTGTCTTCAGGTTTGTTTTTTTCTTTAATAGAAGTTACTGCTAAACAGCTTTACAGGCTTTCAAGAGTCAGCTGTGAATAGGGAACAAAATCCACAGTAGTATCTTCAGTCAGTAGAGCCACAAGAGTGGCACACACCAGTTAATGTAGTCTTGGTTCATTTTGAATGTATTACACTTACTGCTCTAATGGCCAAATATCCCTATTTTTGTGAAGTTACTGTGGGCTAGTAAGCCACTTTTGAATTGGATTATCTACAAAATACATACGTTTAGGTGCAAAGAAGAATCTACTGAGGTTTTGATGTTGCAGTCAAAGCCAGTTAAGACCTTGCAAGGTTGCTGTGCCCCAGTCATAGAGTGGAAACTTGATGTACCAATTCTGGTAAAGCAGAATTGGATGCTCTTTCTACTAATTTTCCCTTGCCATGCAAATGACATTTCAGGAACTAATATGAATCTCCTCAGCAGTAGTACAAATTGTTCTTTCTATGTTGCTGTTGACCAGGGCGTGGTAACTTTGGTTTGCTGAGTATAAGGTTAGTCAGTGCTAATATTGGGGTAGGGAGGGAGCTTGCTGGCGTTTTGTAGGAAATAGTAGCCTGACTTTATCGTTTAAAGTATCTTGAAAATCAAAATTCTCCTGTAAATACTGTTTCTGTAGTACTTAGTGTGTTTGATATTATTATATAGAAAATACCTCTTTTAGAGGCTTATTCTTCAGCATACTGTGATTTGAAGAACAGTGAAGGGGGAAAAATCCTTGGTATGCTGGAAATGAGGGGTAAGGCATCCAAATGGTAGCTGTATTTTTAAATATAATCCCTAGAAATGCTATGTGGAATACCAAACAAGCAGTTGAAAATATGTTTGATGATGTCAAGGTTTTTTTTGTGTGACATGCAGTGGAACATAGTAAAGTACTTAAAGAAGTCTGCAGGAGGATTTTTTTCCCTGAAGCGCAAGGTAGGTGAGTTGTGTTTCCCATCCCTCTGTCTTCACTGCCTGTCTCTTGGCCCCGTCCAAACTGCAGTATCAAACAGTTGACTTTGCAGTTATGCAAAGTTCTTAAAACTTTCATAATAGCCACCAAGCTTCAGCGAGGCTGTTTTGGGCACTTCAGTTCTGTTTTTAATCTTGCAGTTTAACCTATTTGCTGTTTTTATGCAGTGTGAGCTCCTGGTTATAATAAAAAAAAGCCTTGCAACTCTTTGTGTTAGCACCTGAAAAAGCTCTGTTGTAGAGTGGAATCGCTTAACGTCTTAAGCTAATTTGTGTGAAGTCTAAACTGATGCTGACATGAAAAGGGAGAGGGAGTTCTCAGAAAAGCTGCGTGTATGTATGCTGAGATTGTTCCAAATGCCTGGACACTGTTTTTACAATATGTCTTGTGCTTGTTAAGTGAAAAAGGACTTGTACCACCTTTACCAATAAAACTTGCTGCATGATGCTCTGTGACTGTTGCAATAAGGCTCTTGCATTTTGGTTTGTCTGTTTCAGTGGGACTTGGCTTCCGAGATTCTCAGCTATTACAAAAATGGGATGTCATTTCACAAATCACTTGTGTTCTTCTGAAGATATTTCTCAAAGACTTAAAGAAGTTATCTGCCATGCACCCAAAATATTCTTTATTTCATTTGTTTTATATTAAATGAAGATGTTTATATGTAGGAATCTTTGTCAAGTTTGAGTCTTTAATTTTGCTTTTTTGTTCTACTTTGCTTTTTCTGCCATTTTTGAGAATTGAAAATGAATGAAAGCGATTGAGTAACTTTGCCAGTTATATACTTAGCAGGGTGTGTCGTCTTCACTGAAGACTGTATGCATGCCAAGCCTGAAATTTTATTAGGATGTCTATTTTCCTGAATAAATACCAAGGGAGACACAAATACTGACCTACTCTAAACTGGGAATGAGCGCCCTAGTCCTAGACAAGACAAATTCTTTGGCCAGAAGCCACCATTTCTTTTTGAACAAAATGGATAATTGGGGTGTATGTAGATTTCTGATGAACCAGAGTTAAATGCCAGTTAATCAGTTTGACTTAAATCAGCCTCTGGAACTGTGTTTTATGTAAGGTCTTGGAGATCAGGATTTGTGTGGAGACTTCTTGGCCAGAACTGATCTGTTTCAGTAAATTAGAAGATATCCTGAAGTCAGCCTGCTGAAGAAGGTGCTTTTTTTGGAATGAAGTAAAACTTCAGTGCAGTCAGGCATAGAATAATAGTGAGTGAGAATTTGCTGATGAGATAGTTGTGCGGTTATTGGTGACTTGGTTCAAAAAATGTCTCCATGAAATATAAACATTTTCATTCGTGGTAGTTGTCAGCAGTTGTTTTTTCAGAAAGGTAAATTATGAAAACTCCATGTACATGCAACTACACCCACAAACTGCGTGGAAAGGTACCTTTGTGTTAGCATGTATTTCAATTAAACTTTTAGACGAAGCTAGAAGAACTGTAAGGTCTGAGCGCAGGTGCTTGGGGATAAGTGTGTGATGCCTGGCGGGGATGGTAAGGCTTAGAGAGAGGGGAAGAACATCAGGCAGCAACAGTTCATTCCTCACAGTGCAGTTGCTTTTGTTCTTTTTCAGCCCAGCAGTAAGGCACTGCTACAGGTTACTGACGGGGGCAATTGTGTGATCCTGGGGAGATGGAAAGGATCTTCTACTTATTTTTCATTGAAGCTTCTTCCCATCATCCATTCTATTTCTGATTCTATACACTTCATGACTTGACTTTTCCTTCCTCAGTGACTTCACTACGTTGAGTCTTAGTTTTCAATCTGTGATGGTCTACCTCATTGTATTCTTTTTCCTAAGTAAAAACTAAAAACAGTTCTAGTCCCTCTGGTGTCCTCATTAATACCTCCCTGTTTCTGTCCAACGTCTTCTTGTCAAACTTCTTTCTTCATAGCTCTGTTGATTCTTAAACATTCCCAATTTCCTTCTCACTCATTCGTGTTCCTCTGGCTTCCTGGCCCTGTCTGCTAATCTGGCTTTTCCCAGAAGCTCAGGATTATATCTGAGAACATAGTCCTTCCCCTTAGGCTTGCCCTGGTGTGGAAGGGGCCAGCCTCAGACCCCTTCCTCGGTTATGCCTACCCTAAATCACTGAAGCACGCTGGGGAGAGCTTAGCACAGGGCTTGTATGGATGAAACCACCGTAGACGAGAGAGGTTTGCCTGGGTGCATGCGTTACTGGGCAGGAGCACAGTTTGTCTCCTCCGTAGAATGTCTTCATATGGCATGCCTGTGTTGGGTTATACGTGTGCGTGGTGCTGTACATCTTCTGGCACTTCAGAGCTGTGGATACTCTAGCTTTCTGAACTCCACAAAGTCTTTGCTTCACATTTAGTGTTTAAAAGTTTTATCTGCCAGCTTAAGTGAGACATATTACAAGTAGTATGTCTTTAGCCAAGAATTTCAAATCATTACTTCAAGCAATGTGTGTAGGAACTTCTCAAAAATCATCAGAAGTCTTAAATGATGGTGTTAATATGGCCTTGTTCAGCAACACCTGGCTTCAGGGTTTTATTTCATGCATTTGTAAGGCTCGGGTTACGAGCTTCTTAAAAAGAAAGTAGTTCTTTTGTCTTCTTTGTGGAAGAACTTGCTCCCTGTGACTTATTTTGGGTGGTTTGGGTTTTTTTGGAATACTAGATTTCTTCATGGCACATTTCTGTGCATCAAAGGGTATCACTTTCCCAGGGTGTCGGTTTTCCTCAAGTCTGCCAACTTCCAAGTTTTTCTTAAGATCCAAGTGGACATTTCAAAGGAATTTAAGGAGGCAAAAAGTACTCGCTCGATACATTTGAAAGCTCCTGAAATGTAATGGGTAATCACCTAAATGTTCGATTCTAATTAGTTCGTTGCAGTTATTCATATATTGTGAATTTTTATACCAAATGTTTCTTTTTGGCATAACGAATGGCTGCTTGCTGACCAAAAAAAAAGCAAACCTCACTTCAGGGGAGGAGTATGGCTGCTATTCAGTTCATTCAGTCTGGTTCTACTTGGGCGTTGAATGAGAAATCCAATACCTGCACTGCTTGTACCATGCATTCATTAAATACTCAACAAGCAGCTATTTCAGTCTCTGAATAAATGCTTTATACTGACTATATTTTAACCAATTCAATCTGCTCATGTCTATGTGAAGATTATTACTGTCATTTTAATTCCTGTTTAACATGGGCGACTTTTGCATACAAAGAGGACCCTGATTCTTCCAAGTCGTTTATGGATAGCTGTGTTCTGTATGTGTATGCACCAGTCATTCCAGCTGACAGCTGGGCATCAGAACTTGACTTCACAGCTAACTCCTAGGTGATGCGGAACTGCTGGCACCTGGAGTATTATAAAAGTTTTCATCGTTAAATGTAATTTGTAGTCTTTACTAACTGCTGATGTAACTGCTGTTTTGTGAATCTCTGTGCTTTGTTCTCCAGATGCTGCTGGGTACATAGTGAAGTTTCTAAGAGTAAGCTTTTACTTACACAACCTGTATTTATATAACACGCTGTTTTCCGCAAAGTTCTCAGCAAAGTTTCTTGCTTTTTAGGAGAATCAGATACTAGCAGAACTTGTGATCAATTGTTTTGACTTTGACTGAAAAGATGGTGTAATGGCTCACTACTGTGCAAGAAATAAAATGAACTTTCTCACAAATTGTATTTAACTTGAAACAGCCTGTTCTAGTGTGACTAAATCTTCAGGACTGAGTCTATTCTTTGTATGTTGAACTAGAATTAGTTTGACCTCAGACATCTTACTCACAAATGTAATTTAGCATTTATGCTACTCCTTCGGTGTGCTGCTGAGAGGATTACATCAGTTATAAAACATGACTAGTTATTTTTTGTTGTCTTGCGTGACTTCAGAACTGTTTAAAGGAAAAATCCAACTTTTTAAACCTGCCCTAATTACCAGTTTAGACTCTCCGTTAAACATTGAAGTCCTACTTGTAAAAAGTTTAAAAAAATACATATATGTTTTTCTTCTTCAGATAATATCTCCTACGGCATTGTTTTTGGCTGCAAAAGTGGAAGAACAGCCACGGAAACTTGAACATGTTATTAAAGTAGCACATGCCTGTCTTCATCCTCAAGAGCCACAACTGGATACAAAGAGTGATGTAGGTGGAAGTCACAGTTTTAAAGATAATCAGATGACTCTTCATCTAACAATCTGTTAGATTGTCTTGACTGAATTATTGCTGTCTGCAAACTAGAAAAAAACCTTTTGTTTTTACACCATTTAAGTCTTTTGTATTACTTAGTATAACTTATTAAAAATTCAAGTATTTGTTTTATGAAACTTGAAGAGATTGCTCCTCTTGAACTTGCCTTACTGTTAAGACTTCTACATGTATAGTAGAAGGCTAGACCTTAAATAAGAGGTTTCATGCGTGGTTCTGTGAGTTACACAGTTGGTGCAGAGGGGAGTTCAGGACACTGGCTGGTGAGTCTTTCTCAGCCAGGGGCTCACTGTGCACCGCTGCCTACATTCTGTTCTAAAGGATGCGATACAGTTGTCAGCCGCTGCCTCTGCTGTGCATTGGTCTTCTTTTCATTTGCCAAAGTTTGTACAGCTTCCATTTACTTTATAGTTCACGTTTTCTTTCCTGAGATGAGTCTTCCTGAAACCAAACACACAAGGAAATATGGTGGAAATGCCCCAGAGCTGTTCTGCTAGAAGGTCAGACTGAGCTAGTTATGCCCTGATGGACCTCAGCTGATGTCTAAAACTACTTGAGCACTTTTTCTATGCTTCCAGTTCTTGGAATGACGCATGGAGGTGTGTGTGTGTGTATATATATACACACATATATATGTATACACACACATTTGAGGCTGCAAGCTTCAGCTAGCTTAACATGGGCTAGCTGAGTATCTACAGCTATATTTTAAAGTACTTGTGAAATGGATTATCTGCCTAGAGATATTTGAGTTGATACAGCACTGGCAAGCCCTCATAATTCTTATAGCATCCCCCTCCCTTCTCCCAAAAATGTTTTGCTGGAATAGGTTATATGAGATCCAGACGAAGTAAATCTTGCTGTGAGAGATGGTTCGGCTGGTGTGACTGAATTTGCAGTGATGCTTACACGGGCAGAAGAAAGTATTGCCACAGTGAAGTGTTCCGAGTTGTCAGTGCGAACTGGCTTGGGCAGTAGTCTTAACTTGTGTTGCTAATACCTATTCACATAGGAAGTGTATGATTAAAATTTTGAGACAATAGATAGCTACGTCTTGACCTGTTTGCTTATTTGTTTCAGGCATACCTTCAGCAAGCCCAAGAGCTGGTTATACTTGAAACAATAATGCTTCAAACTTTAGGTATGTCTTTCTACATCTCTCCTGTGCAGCCAGCTTTCCGTGAAGAAGTAATGGGACCCAAGTAACTGGATTTTTGATGTGCTATTGGTACACTGGAATTTTACTGGTTTTGTATACAACTTCTGACCTGTGAATGTAGCATTTGTGTATTGGCAGTTGTGTTCACTTTGGGGGGAAAAAAGGCATATCTATACCTGCGAAATAGGTGTCTGTGACAGTTTGATGGGGTAGAAATGTGTACCCTTTACTCCAGAGTAGTGACCACGTTGATATGCCTTTGTATAAGGTGACGTGTTGTACTAGGTTAGCTACGTATGTGTTCTGAAACAACTGGAAAGAGCTGTATACCAAGTGCTCTTCGACATTTTGCCTTTTAGCAGAAGAACATGATGTAAGTGAGCAGGGTTACTACCTCTGAACATCACAGGTCATGGTGTGACCACTTAATGGATTCAGGTCATTCCAAAATTTGAAATGGAGTGTTCTGATAAGAAACTCTTTTGACTTTAAAGTAACATAAATAGAGACAGTTGCAGCTGGCGGGCCTGAGAACACTGACTTAAATATTCTTAAATACCGCTTTGAGTATATAGTTTTTTCAAAAAAAAATCTTAAAATAGGTTAATAAACAATGAAAGGTTTCTTAAGTCACTGACCTAGAAATTGACTTAATTTGTAATTTCATAGCTGCAGCATGTTTAAAGTCCAGAAATCACAAAATACCAATGAATGAAGTGTGCGTGCACACACATGTATTTCAGTGTATCTGTGATATAGCCATTGCTGACTGATTAATGTACTAGAAATTGTTTGGATATGTTCAACTTTAAAAATATGGTAACTTCCCAGGTTATATATGTATATATAGGATTGGAGAGTACTGAAGGAGTGTTTTACTAATTGATCTTGAAGCGGCCATACCACCTACCATTCGAAAGTATGAAAAGGTGCAGAGTAAAAGGTGGTTAAATATTGTTACTTGATCTGCAGTGCAGAAGTTTAGCAAGCATTTTAGGTCTGTGGGGAAACAAAGGGGTTTGATTTTTTTATTTTACAGATGCAAATGTATAACTCTAAAATGTATTCGTAACTCTTCAGGTTTTGAGATTACCATTGAACATCCACACACAGATGTTGTGAAATGTACGCAATTAGTGAGAGGTCAGTGACTTTTAACCGCTTCTGTAAGTCCTTTTTTACCTTTCTAGTAAAATTGAAGGTGATGCTATTTGTCTGATATGATCTTCACCATCTGTTATCCAAAGAGTTTGTCTAAAACTAATTATGAAAAGCTTGATCTTAACCTTTAGAGTTCGATAGAGTCCAGTTCTGTGTCCTTCATAATTTTTTTTTGCTTTCTTACTAGCTTTGATCTGTTCCATGTTTTCTCAAATAACAGAAGCAGTTAGTAGTTGAAAACTGAACAGCCAACTACTTAGTGTTGTTCTGGGTTGATTATTTTCACTCTGAAGTAGTTTCACCAAATGAAGCTTACTCTGTGTGTTGGTTGAAGTCTCATGCTAGCTTTCTGTCTTAGCAAATCTTCTTAGGTAATGAACTGAGGGATTAAGAGAGTGCATAGCAGGTCTGCTGTCACATGCAAATACCTCAAATGTGACTAATTGTTTTTCTGGAGCAGGGTGTACTTCCTTGTTTTGGATGGTAGCACAAAACCCCAAACCTGCTGTTAAACAATCAGATCCTCTAACTTGTATGCAGCTCATTAATGTGACTCTGGCCAGAAACCTGGTTTGTTCTTTAATATTTTTAGTGGAGTTTTGGCACATCTTCTTTCATTCTTAAATTGGTTTGGAGCTTTAATAAAAGAAAAAAAAATCCTCTCATAAGGTGGAAGATGAAAAAAATTAGGAATCAGTTGTAAAAGCACCTAAAATAAGCTTTTCACTTTAATTATGCTCCTTAATTAAAAAGTGTTTGGAAATTATAAGGCCATAGTTGTTAGTATTTAGTCGCTAGCTGGTTTTGCAGTGAAAAATGCAAAGTTAAGTGCGTCAAAATTTTGGGGGTTTTTTTCTCTGTAAAATATAGGAAAGTTAGGTACAACTCTAATCATGTTAACTAGACCTGTTCTGTAGTAACTCTAGAATTGAAGTTGTCCTTTGAGGGACTAGTATTTCTCATTTAAAGTAGCTTACTGGTGTAGGGTCTTCAGAGTTTGAGCCTGAGCAGGACTGGTGCTGTAACTTGTCTGCATACAAAATAGCTTTATTGCTGTTCTTGCTGTAACGTAATGATTCGTTCCTTTCTGTCCCACTTTGGTTGTGACTCGGTGCGTAAGTCTAATTGCACCTCAAGTCTCAATAGTCTGCATCAGCAGCTCTGTAGGGTTTTGCTTTGGATTTTCCTAGCTGTTGGTCAATATAAATGTGAGCACATATTTCACTGTTTTGTGTGAGCCCCTGCACTTCTGCTGGGTGTTTGGGGCTGTGGGGAGGGGTGGCAGGCAGTATTGTAGCTGCATCAGGATTTCCACATTAGCAAGTGAGCCTACAAGAAGAAAGGCATGCTGCTACACAAACTTTATTTCCTTTAGTCGAGGGTAGATGCCACTCTAAGACAGTTCAGCATTTTCCTTTGTGTTTTGTATGCTACTTTTGTGTACTGACAAAATTCATACATTGAAGATACATGCTAATTTTTAAGTTTCAAATTTTAAAGCTAGTATTTAAAGTCAGCGCTGTTTAGGGAAACGCTCAGAATTCTCGGATTATACCAAGTCTTGAAATCTGAAGGCTGCAGTGAGGGCTGAAAATTCATGTACCTCAAGGACTGGTGCAAAGTGAATGTAACATATCTGATGCTTGAAAACTTACTCACTGGAGTAGGTGTGCTCCTCAGTACAGGTGTAAGCAAATGGCATTCTTGTCAGCATATGCCCCTCCTAGGGGTGGTATAGGCTGTGAACACAAGACTGAAGAACTTCATATTAAAAAAAAAAAAAAAAAAAAAAAAACAACAAAAAAAAAAACAAAAAAAAAAAAACCACCAACAAATTAATGCATAAATTAAAAACATTGATCATGAAATATGTAGTCATGCATGCAAGTCAAGCAAGTAGAGAATAATTGCCGTGGAACACTGGCCTAATGTGTTGAGTGAATAAAGAAGATGGGCTTGTGGGCACAGTGATACATCTTCAGAGATGCGGTGGTATGATTTGAGTTCTCTCAACATTTATTTATTGGACAGTGTGTTGTTTTACTGTGAAGAGGTGCAACACTCAGATAGCAAGTCCTGAAGCTTTCAAAATGTATCTAAGACTTGTCAGTGTTAAACCTTTAGCGCTAAAGGGATTGACTGGGAAGTTAAAGAAATACAAGGTTGCTTCATCCAGTTCTGGTAACCTCTTCTTGGACAAAAAACACTGCTTCAGAAGGCAGAGATACCTTTTTATTAAAGGTGATTAACTTATCCAAGACTGTTGTGATTAAAACCTCCAACTGTATGTTTGGGGAGAGAAAGAAGGGAGGAATATAATGTGGCTGACTATTTAGCTATCAAAAGAGGCAACAAAGTTAGCTGAGGTATGCAAGTGTACCTAAGGTGTTGGCTTAGCATGCGTGCACTGAATCGCCATGTGGTGAGAAGATGCCCTTTTGCTGGCTAAACTGAAGTGGCTGAGAGGGTGGCTGATTCTCTATAGCACTTTTTGTTGTGTTGCATCCAGAGTAATGTGCTTTATGCTGTCACTGTAACCTGTATTAAACTGCAAGCTACCCCCTTTAAAAGCAAAATTAAAAAACAAAATAGAGAAACAGGTTCTGTTGATGCTCAAAAAATTGAGCCAAGTCCGTTATCAGGAGACATACCAGAATCAATTGCTGGAAGCTGAAAATAAACTAGTAAGTGGGAACTGGTGCAAATAAACACAATTGCTCCACCGTACAACTAGAGAAAAAGTTGAATTCTTCATCTCTAAGATTGAAAGCCTTTCTGAAGGTATTATTAGACAACACAGATCATTATAGATAAGGGGTGACTGGATGGATACATAATGACGCATGATGTTCAGTCATAAGGTGTCTGATTATTCCTTCTGGCTTTCAGAGATTTGTGGGTTGATGAAATTGTTCCATCTTTACAGTTTGGTCAGTATAGTAGACAAGGAAAATGGTGTGGGCTTAGTCTTTTTTCTGCACCATTCTTCCTCAGTGTCAAGAGACTGAGAAGAGGAGACAGGACCATCATTCCTTAGGATCCCACAGGTCCTCTAAGGAATCTGAAGGCAGTGGATCTGTGAAGGCATGTCAGCAAGCATCAGTGCCCGTTCCAAGGATGCTCCGGTACTGAAGAGAGAAGAAAAGGGGAGGGGGGGATCAAAAAATACACCAACAAAAACTGTTCTGGTGTCAAGCTACCTTACTGGCTTCAATGCTGGTTGAACGATCAGCACTGAAACTGTCCTAGTGCCAAGACCATGACATGGTTGTATTAAGCACTGGTGGAAAATCAATCTGTTCCCAGCCTGCTTCTGGTGGAACTTGAAGGGGAGGAATCCGTATCCTCATCTCCATCTTGGGAAGTCTTCAGTCATTCCTTTTTGTGTGTTGCTACACAACCTTCTTTTGGAACTGAAGATCGGATCCCAAGGATTTCTAGGATTGTTCTCGCTACTCTGCAGGTTATCAGGTATCTTGAACACCCATGATCCTTACTGATCTTTTGTGGAAATTGCACTGTCAGATTCTTCAGACGTACGATAGTATCTGTGTGCGCAGGTGCCGTTGGGTAAATCAGGCTGATAAAGACAAAATCAGCAGAAGAGGAGATGAAAATGAATCTGCTTTTCCAGAAGGTATTCTTATGAGGAGAATTTAAATCTCAGTACACTAAGTGGTGTGGAAAGACAAACACCAGCCACACTCCAGCACTGCTATAGGTGGCCTTCACATTCTGAAGTTTCACCTCGGGCTTTTACAGGGCTGTTCCCGAGGTTTAAATGCTTTCAAGAAAGTAAAGCCACCAGGACTGCTCAGACCTGAATGTCTACGCCATGGCCTCCTCCAGCCCTTTCCCGATACAACAGGCATCCACCAGCATACCATTCGGAGCCTGTGGCTTTTGTCCTTTTGCCCAGGACTTCAGCAAGCTTTCTCTCTTCTGATGTTGACTGGCTTATCTGCAGTCTCCCCTCTCTGGGGAGTGCTTACCCGTGTTCTCGGGGTCCTAGGCATGGCCAGCTACCACCCTCCATTTTCACCATTATCTCAAAACCCAAGATAACCTAGTGTTGAAGAAAAGACTCGGGTATCTTGGAATTACAACCGGGTGCATCGTGTGGCTGTGCCCAATAAAAACCATTTTGGTTTCCAGTAGGGAGTTTCCCGGAGACAGTAGCCTTCTGGAAGGTGTGTCAGACAACAAGTCCCATTTCAAAATCTTGATTACTACTTTAGCAATCCCCTGCCTTACGGTTGCTTCTGCAGCAGCGAGACAGGGTGGGTGTTTTAAATCACTCCTGAATGATAAAGTCTAAAACTGATTGTTAATGGCTGGCATCATAGTCATCAGTCCTGCGACTCGTGGGTTTGGACAGAGAAGCTCCGCTGGCTTGTTTTAGCCTCTGCTTCAAGATTATTTTAATTTGGAGATGCCCTTTCCACTGCTATAAGGGAAATAACTCACCAAAATAATAGGAACCAAATTCTTTAGCTTTAATTTTAGTGATGGATTCTACTAAACCAAAGCTGTCCTAAATGTAAGAGGAGAGTTTGGGACAGGTGTTCTCAGCTGGGCCTTGTGTTACCATCGGCTTTAGTTGTGAGCTGAAATTTCTTGCTGGTTTTGGCAATGATGATTAGTTGTAAGTAAGTGGAAACAGTGTCTTACTGTTTGTAGTATAGGTAAGGTATTTAGCACGTTAATTTTTGATGGAGGCTAAAACGTGTGTTTCAAGATGTGATTCTTTTCTTCCAGGTATGTGTTTTGATTTACTCAACTTTCAAGCTGATGTTAAGTAGAAGTTTTCTGGCATCTGCTGTTCTTCCTTGTTCAAAAGGGACATTTCAGTGAGAGTAGAGATGCTTCTTGGTCCGGTGTCTTAATTCAAATGTGTTGTAACTTTACAGAATATAGAAATCATTGAAGATCCTTTAAACATCACTTTGATGAAAAACGAAGAGCAAGACATCAATTTCAGTCTTACTCAGCCATTCTGCATTTTCCTTTGTTTTGCTATGATAGTCTCATTTCACTTTTTTGGTAATACTGCCTTACATTTTTTTGATGGGAGGGAAGGGAAAAGGTTGAACTCCATGGTTATCTGGCATGCAATTATCATTATAGTTTGCAAACTAAATATTGTAGTATAACACTGTCACATTGTCAGTTCACCTTTTGATTATTATGGATTGGTAGAATTTGTGTGTTCGTCTCAGATGATGGTACTGCCCGGCTGTGTACCATAAAGACAAATCTGATTTATACCCCTCAGCAATCATTAGAAGTCGAGTTAAATCACATATTTAATATGCTTTTTAAATTAAATACGAAAAGCCATTGCGGTCTTTCTCAAACTTTGTGGAAAGAGTATTAAAAGTTGAACGATATTCCCTTTGACATAAAATTCAACACTACGCTTTCTGCAGGTAGCACTGATTTCAAGTGGTAGTCTCAAAGTAAGAATTCAATGAAGGCTGCATTCACTCTTCGGTTAAAACCATTGTGCCCAGCTATTCCATTATATGCATGTTACAGTAAGTTCTCCTGCTTGAGTGAGGAGCGTTGGGGCTTCACTGGTATGGGTTGGTGCTAGGTGGCTGTAATGGCCCAAGTCGTTAGCTTCTCGTTTCTGCCACGTTGCAGTCTTGGGTGGGTTTTTTCCCTGACTGTAACTAAAACGAAGTTGTTTATTTCTTATCGAAGCTCTGCCATAGGTTTAACAAATGTGGAAGAAAATGTTACGAGTACGGTGCTCTTAATCAGAGGGAGCAGAAAACTCTTAATTTTTTTACGATCTAGCTCAGGAGCTTTCTGTGTTGTAGGGCTTTGGGAGAGAGTTGTGGCTGGTTTTGGGGAGGTGCTGGGGGGTGGGGTGGGCACTCTCCAGCTGTCCTGCCACGCTCTTCTCCAGGAGCAGAACTTTGCACAGTGCTGCAAACTGGCTTTTGCCCGCTGCCGTGCTGCAGCGCAGGGTTATGCTGGGGCTCGTTGGGGAGGGGAGGCAGCAGGTATCCCCAGGAGAGAGTGTGCTCGCGTGCGAGGCCTTCGCGGGGTAGATGGGCAGCGGGAAACCGGCCGGTGGGTTGTACGGGAGATTACTGCACAGGCGAGTTAGCTAAATGCCAGTCAGTTCTGTGGAAATACCAAGTGGTGCTCTTGGAAGGTAAAGCTGCTGTAATTTTGGAATGAACGGGACAAGTTGGTGCAGATCTTTAATCTCTCCGTTTTTCTTTTCTTACAGCAAGCAAGGATTTGGCACAGACATCCTATTTCATGGCTACCAACAGGTTGTTATCCTGAACCTCTTTGTTGCACTGTTGTAGCACACTATAGCTTCCTTTACTGCAGGGCCCCCTACACGTGTCTTGCCCTTGTTGCAGCAGGAGACTGGGCCATCTCCAGTGGTGGTACCTGCCCGCTTGCAGTGCGGTGTATTGTACAAGGGCCTGACGGCACAGAGGGGTTAAATGCACAATGAGAAGTGTAGTGGTGCTTTCTGATGACATTTTCTCGATTGTGAGTGCATAAGTCTAAAATTGGTAGCCTGAATAGCAGCTAAAGATTACAAAGAGCTAAACTTAACCTAGAAATTCGAGCATCTTGGTAAGTACAAAACTATTTTTAGTTTACACTTGTAGTTAATGGCAGTTTTAACTTTAAATATATTGATCCAATCTTAACTTATAAAATTGTAGCAGGCCTAAGATCTTTTCAACTAGCTGATTTTTCTTTTCAGATAGACTACTAGTAGTCCAGTGTTATTCCTTTCAGAAACAGCTCTTTAATCTTAACCTTGAGTTTTAAAACTTAAGTACTTAAATAAATTTAAAGCTGCTGGATGCCAAGTGGGAATTGTGTATACGTAGCCTGTTGTAGAAAGACGGAACTTGAGACCAGACTCTAGTCTTGATTTCTCGATGACTTCAATTTACTTCTTGCAAAACAACTTTGAGCTTTATTTAAGAGGATTATGTTATGTGTAGATAGTTTTTAAGCAATGTCTGCTGCTGGTTAGAACTCTTCCAGCTAAGTATTTCTTGATAATTCCTTGATGGGCAAGGTTCTGTATTTGAAACAGCTGTTAAGAGAAGCTGTGATAAAGCAGCGAAACAGAACTGTTATCTTTGTGCTGCTGCCAGCTGGAAGCTGAAGGAGAGTTTGCAAAGATGTCAAATCCAGGCCAAGTGAAAGCTAAGCCCACAAGTATTGCACTTGGCCTCTGTGGAACTGTTGGGTACCTTCTTCTCATTGTCTCCTTCGGGGACTGCATAATCAGCTGTATGCTTTTTACTGTAAAGATTTAATTGACCATATTATACTACTTTTAGTACTTAAGTACAGTAGAATAACTGGTAAATTTATTTACTGTTCATCACACTTGTAATAGAAAAAGCAAATTAAACTTTTCTACCTGATAAATGCCCTGCCCTTTGTTTTCTTAAGGCTGTAAGATACCTTACGAACTGAATCAGAAAAACTGTTCCATGAACTAATGTTAAACTGCTGTTGCTTGACAGATGATCTGGTTCTGTGTGTTAATGGCTGATTTGTTTGGGTTTTCTGTTTTACATGTTTGATTTCCTTTGGTTCCTCATTACGAAATTTGTGCAACAGTCTTCACCTTACCACGTTCTGTCTTCAGTACAAGCCTACAGTGATAGCATGTGTGTGCATTCACTTGGCCTGCAAGTGGTCCAACTGGGAGATTCCAGTGTCAACTGATGGAAAACACTGGTGGGAATATGTAGATCCGTCGGTTACTCTAGAATTACTAGATGGTAAGTAATACTGCCTTTTCATATCTTGAAATTCAAGGGTTTATTAACATAAAAATGGGAGCACAGTGTAGTAAGAGCTTTAAACCTAAAATGTGAAGTCAGTGAGACTTACACTGCATCCTTGGGCCAGAGAAAGCTATAGGAGAGGGGAGAACTTTGAAAGACAAAACTTACTTTCGAGGCCCTTTTCACTTCATCCTGTGGGCTGGGGTATCCACGTACCTTTTGTAGGCACAGGTTAGAATCTTGCATTTAAGTGCTTTCCAGAACCAGGAAAGAGATGGAGATGTACCAGTGCAAATCCATGCAGTCCTGATCATTTTATGTACGTCGCTGGTCCGGGTTTATGGCTTCACTGTCACGTAGACAACTGTTCTTAAGGCTGTACATAAAATTGCTGCATTTATGAAGGTAGTTCTATGTTAAAGACTTGGTGTAGCTTATAATACCTCAAACTCCTGTAAAATATTTTTTTCTCGTTAAATGGCTTTTTTCCAGAAGAAAGCATATACCTAGGAGGCTGTATACCTAGAAGTTTACTACCTTTTGAAATAGTACTTACCGCAGGGGAATCTGAATTTAGGGCCCACACACGCTACTGCAGCGGAGGTGGTGGCTTCTGGGGCTTTCAGATCCATGCATTGGACTTTGCTGTCAGCTCTAGGGTGAAACATTTGTTTCAGAGCAGTGGCGCAGGCCTCCAGGCTCGGTGTGGCCCACCATAGCCCCCCACAGCCTGCTTTTCTCCTCTGCCGAGCTTTGATTTCTTAATGGCAGTGTTGGGTTTTTTTGACAGTGGAAACTTGAGTACGTGTCATGTGAAGCACAGAATCAGATCGAGCTTGAAATTGCAAGTTCGAATGTCTGTCTTGGTAGGCTTCTTTAAGTTGTATCTGTAGTTTCAAATACCACCCTGCCTTCCTTCTCACCTGGCTGGTGGTTTTGCGACTTTGGTAAGCATGCATCGTTTTGATTTTTAAAATCCCATGAGACATGTGGTGTGAGCTCACGGTGAACACCGCTTAATTCTTCACACGTTGATGGAGCTGGGGCGTGGAATAGGCCCGGGCAGACCAAAGTGCTGAGGCAGTTTTGCACTTAGGAGTAGCTTCGTTTGTAACTTGCTTGTTGGAGTTCTGGAGAAGCCAGTTCTTCCAGACCTGCAAGCGATCTACTTTTGCATTCGAATTCTGACTGTACCTAATTATTTTTAGCTTGTGAGTAAAATTACATTTCAGTGGAAAGTATTTCTATTTGCAGCTGACAAGCATAGAGACCTCCATTTCCTTGCGGACATGCCAATGACAAGGAGCTCGTGTTTTTCACACAGCCAACGACTTTGTCTTGAACACAAATTAATCAAAAACTATTGTTGAAAGCAGGGTGCTTCAGGGGGTCTGATGGTTTATGTTTTGTTCAGAGCTGCTGTTGGTCATTCCTGGAGTACGGTGGAATGACTGAAACAGCAACTTAGAAATTTAGACTTTAAAGGAAACTTAACTTCATACAGGAGGTGCCCAAGCTCAATGGCAAGTATGCTATGTTAGGAGCTATTGTTTGTGCAGATCTCTCTAGAAATTCTTGGTGTAACAAGTCCAGATTCTGCAAGACTAAAACTAAAATCTTCAATTCAAACCTGTTTTTCAGAATGCAGGTAGTGGTCAGAAGCCTGTCATAGTCAAATACTGTAGCTTTTTTTTGTTCAACACTTGTCTAACAAAAATTCTTTGTTAAATATAAATTCAACTCGTGCAGCCTGTAGTAACTA